CCTGCTGGATGTGTGTATGCCCAAACCGACAGTGTGTTCCCCATGCTTCACAGAAAAAAGGAAGGTCCCTTGCTTGAGTTGAGTGACTAAATGTAATAATATTTGATTGGACGAGTGTATATTGTGATGGAAATGAATAATGATTGATTGATTCTCATATATATATATACACATATCTGTGAGAATGATTTTCGAGTGCGAACATTGAATAGGAAGTTTTGACAAATCATAAAAGCTAGACATTCCATGCGTATGTGCTTTTGTTTGAGCAGAATCTCATGTTTTGGACATGTGATGCTGTTCAAGTCGTGGCCGAGGTTGCCAACAACAAAATTTTTGCCCCACGCACACTTTTGGGAATTGTTTCACATTTGTCCAATTCGGTCTTTGACCGGGGGCGAGGGGGGTATAAGACCCGAGGCTGACCATGTCCTCTCCAAGCAACACTTCGTTTGGGTGACGTCCTTCCCTCATTGCACGCTCTCGCCCCCGCTTCAAAAAAGGTGGTAGTGCCTTCGAGTCATGTCATTGCAGTTCAGATTGTCATATTAGGGTTTTGGATGCTTGAACTTAAAGCCATGGCTGTCTTGCGTGACTTGATGACGAAAACTTTTCGACATAATATCTCCTGTGGTCCCAATTGCTAGCTGGCGAAATATTCTGCTGATTGAATGTCTTGCCCGGATTTTTATATTTTGGAATGGAAAGCAGCCATGCAAACGACGCTGCATGTGTTGGGTGTTGCAGGGCAGGTGGGAAGCACGAGGTTTCGCGCGACATGTTACGTATTCACAAGGTTCTCCGGCTGTGCATAAGGCTTTTTTTGTGTGCTTGATGCCAGCCTGGTTCATATGTTGTGCATGTTGGCCTGTATGCTTGCTGCACATGATGCAAATTCGGTGTGCTTCAGGCTCACAATCACAGAACACTTTGGACATGATTCATGGTGAGGGTTGGCACTTTTCATGGTTGCAGTTTGCGTAGGTGTCCTCGTCAGATGGGTACATGTAATGCAACCCGCAATGCATCCAAAGATATGATGCAGGGGTGATGATGTCATGGCGAATCCATGGGCCGGGGCCTCACCTGATAGTCCAAATCCGGGACGCGGAAGTTTTGACCGTTGCAATTCTGTGATGGTGCCAATGCAACTACAAGCTGCCCAGTCCACACGGCTTGTTAACTGCTGGTGACAGCCGATCTTGGAGCACTTGCTGCCGCTTTTTCTCTCCAGGGCCCCTACGGTAGGTGCCTTCCCTTGTTGCGGCAAGTCCGTGCAGGATTGAGGACTGATCAACCATCTTGAGTGATGCCCCATTTGCCTGAGGACAAATTCAACTTAGATGTCTAGCTGTGCTGCATGATGAATGTACTATGACATTCATTTTTGCGAGGTGCCGTTCAGGTATGGGCTTGGTGTTTGATGCGTTTGTGCTCTTTTTGTTGTTTTATTGTTTTGCCATGGACATTCCTCTTGAATCAACAGCATGGCTTGGCTGCAGCAATCAATTTGTTGAAAGGAAATGGCTCCATCCATTCCGAAGGCCCTGCTTTCTTGAGTTGTGTAGTGTTCAGTGAAATTTTGTGGCATTTTAAGGTTGCCATCCCTCCAGAGAAATGGACGCAAACCGTCTATTCGACGCCCGAGCCCTCTCTGGCAAAGGTGCGCGGAGCAAAACCTTGTTTAGTTCAGCTTGAAGTTGCAGGAGCTAACTGATCAGAATGTTTTGTAGAGCTTGTTGAAAGGTGAGGGGTACAGGGGACGTGGGGCCAGGCTGATGCCGACAAGTTGCAGGCTATGAGCTTCGACCCATCCTTCTACAGCAGTGCATTCTTGCGACGGGACTGAGATCAGGAACTTTCGGTCGAATTCTAGCTTCTGGCAGCGCCATGACTGTTGAGTTTTGGACACTAAGGCAGTGCATGGGCCGAGGACTTTCTCAGAAGGACGCCGGTAAGCCTGAACTGATGCACATGCTTCAAACAGGTAAATTCAGCAATGGTTGTCACGAATCTCGGAATGTTGTCTGCCGACAGGAATGCATTGCCAGCCTTCCAGCCGTGGACTCTAAGCTCACGCCATGTGGACCGCTCTCCGACGCTGCAGCCAGCGACGCAATGTCAAGCAGCTTGTGTGCAGTTGGTGCAAGGCATGCACTTACATTTCGTATGAATGTTTGTTCTGTGTGTTTGTTTTCAGGTGCAATTGCCTGCATAAGTGCCAATGGTCGCCTTTCAGCAAGCAGATGATGCAATATCTTCTGCCGCAGCTGCGAGCCGACGTGCTAAGTTTTGTGCGCTGTGTGATGAGGGGGTGACGTCGACAAATGCACCACGCATTTCGATGCTCTTAGCAAGCTGGCGGGCTACAAGGAGATTCTGAGATGCCCACTCTCCAGCTGTCAAACAGAGAGCACTTGAGGCTTGAAGTGTTTGATGTCATGGTGGCAGGAGGAAGAAAAGAAGTCTTCGTTTCAGAAAGCATCCGAGACTTGCTCAAAGGTGCAGCTGCGCTGCTGTCGCTTTTAGATTGCTCTTGACCTGAGGAGGGCAAAAAGGTTTCATTTTTTGGGGGGGACTTCTCCTTTTCCCAAGCCCGTGAAGTTGGGAGGCTGGCTGGAAGCTGCTCGCAGTGCCTGCCTTGTATGTGGGTGTCTGGGCTTGCAACGAATGAAGAATATCAGTCTTATTGTTTTATTCAGCGGTTCTCGAAAGCCCCTGCGCTCTGCTGGATGTTTCTTCTTGTGAAAAAGGCATGAAGTTCATCAAGATCAAGTGAGTATGGCAACGTGGACCAGGCGACTAGGTCCTCCCATTTCCCACCTTTCCGGGATGAAATGCTGGGTCCCGTAACCATGAGTTGAGCACTGCGCCGCTGCTACACTTTCACAGATAAAAGCCGGAGTGGTGGGCAAGTATCGCTTTCGAAGTGCTGCTTTATGCGAGAAGCAACGTCTCTGCTTTTTGAAGCCGTGAACGACGAGCAGACGGGAGGACAGCAGGAGATGGAACAAAATAAAATGTCCCATTCTTCCACTGTGTGCCCAGGGACTGAATTGAGCTTAGGCCGAGTTCTTCACTTGACATTTCTCTGCATTGAGGTACAGCATGTTCCACCGAGCCAAGTGAGAAGCAGGCCAGGTCTGCAGTTTGTTCGTTTGCTTCACAACATCAGGCGCTGTTCCCAACATTGCAAGCGGTCGCAGGCCCTGGTACCTTACCTCGATGAGTCACAGCCATGTGCTAAGTACAGCACGTTGCGTTACAGATATCCAGCCCCGCATTTGTCGAGTTGGACAAAGCTCGTAACTTCGATCATTTAGCAACCTCCTATACGTTATAGGAGAGCCAGTAGAGAAGCGACACACAGGGGATGTCGCTTGAGAAATGATCCGGAGAGCCAAAATGCAAATAAGCAGGGAAATTTGTATCGCGGCAATGAAGTCGCATGCGTGGGCTGCGTGATTGTTGCTGGCCTTTGTAGCAAGCCTTCCGGGACTGGCGCAAAGAAAACTCTGCTGGGTGAGAGCCCACTAGTTAGTAGAAAAAATGAAAAGCGGTCAGGTCTCGGCTTGTTGCTCCAGATTCCTTGTTGCTGCAAAGCTGCAGCAATTTAATGCCCCCAAAGCCTTGGTCTGAGGCTCGCTCCTTACACAGATGCCCGGGATGATGCACGTGATGTCGGGAACTCAAGTCACATGCTCGTTATGATCGTCTCCAGCATTTTGGCGTTCTGCTGTTGCAAAGTAGGGCAGCGAGGCATGGCTCAGCAAAAACTCTTCAGAGTGCTGCTCCTTTGAGCAGTTGGCAGGGCTCCTGACCCCAACTGATTTGACTTCCTTGGGCAGCAGCGTACTTGCAGATGTTCGGCCAGAATCAGAGGGCCTGCTGTTGTATGAGTGGAATTTTTGGTTGACAATTTCCAGGCTCTGCAGCTCATGTTATGTGACTTGATTGCCACCTGAAACTACCTAGGGCCGGGCTGACCATCGAAGAAAAAACATTTACACTGGTATTCTCACAGTTCAAACCACATCGTGATGGCACGTGCACTCATTCGGAGTGCGATCGAGTCCGGTGCTCCCTTGTACAATGCCTGCCACTCAGCCTTGGAACTGCGGCGGCTCCGTGATTGCGTGAGATTTGAATGGTGGATGCAGCTGAACAGGCCGGCCAAGTTGCCATGTGCGCCCGGATCTACGAGGACCAAGATTGCATTTGGGAGAAGGGCTGGCGGAATTTTAGTGGTTTCCACGAGCTTCAAAGCTGGCAAGCCAAGAAGAGGACGCAGCGAGGAAGCTTTTGCTGGATCAGCGGACAGAGCTGCGGGAGCCAGTAGCGCCGCCGTTTTGCATTCAGATTCTTTCAAGGGACAGGAATCCAACTTTGCAGCCTCGCTTCTTCTACCATTGTGAGGAAGTCCCTGACAGATGCACTGGCCGTGGCTGGAGCACTTGGCTCTGTGCCTGGGCCTTCGGAGGCCATTCGAATGCATTTGAGACATGTCCAGAAGCCAGCAGTTTGACAGGGCCCTTCAGATTTTATTCCTAAACCCGAAACCGTAAACCCGCCTTTGTGGTTAATTCTTGCGCATTGCCTGGCTACATGGCGCCCATATCGCTGCGAGCGGGTTTGTAATTCCAAGTCTGCAATGCTTGGAAAAAACAAATAGAAGCTGTCATTTTCAGGTATTCTTTCCCAATCTGTTTTTTTTCCTGACGCAGCGCTGACCAAGATGTTCGTCATGTCATGCTTTCAAGTTTTCAAGTACATCACTCATTTCGTTTCTCCCTGTCCATGGAATTATCGTCTGGTGCTCTACAGACAGAATGTTCTTACTGGAGACGCTGGCTCCAGGCTTTCTGACACTTGACATTGGATTGACAGCAGATTGCAGGCGGACCAGCTCGCTTGGGCTTTCCGTCGTGCATTCGACGAGCAGCTTGAAAGGCTCTCAGTTGTGCAGTGCTGGAGCCAGCGGTGGGTTTACAGGCCGTGGAAGCAACAGATTTGTTTTTGAGGCTGCCAGCGCAGTTCCCAAAGCTGGAGCTGCATCCGAAGGCAAGAACTGCAAGGGGCCCAGGTAGGCAAAAGAGGTTTCTGCGTGACGGCGAGGCCCCGCAGCCATAATTGCCGCTGCTATTCAAAAAGGCTGGGATTCAGGAAGCAAGCCTTCAACGTGATCCATGTTTTGGCAAACAGATATTATGCAGCTGGTCCAGCCCTTGACAAGTCGCCTGAAACAAGGTGTCCCCCTTTACAACAGCGGCAATCCTGAGGGATGCGCCCAGGCAGGCAGCATCCCTGGCTAAATGGTAAACAGGCTCGTCAGTCTTTCCATGACTCAGGTTTATGCCGAAGCAGCCCAAAGACTTCTTGACGGAGGCAATGGGTCAGCCTTTGTGGACCCGCCAGCCTGGTTCCGAATCAGGATCGATGGGTTCAGGTGCCCGTGCCACACTTCAGCTTGATGCTCAGAGCAGAAGCTTCTGAATGTGCTGAACCGCAGCTTATGTTTCTGCATGAAAAAGAGGATGAGCAGCATGCTGTAACACTTAGGCGGGCTTTGGATTCGCTGCCGCAATTGCCCAATGCGGACGCCCGTGCTTGGGCCCTGCGTCGGTCACTGGACGCCGTGGCGGCAAATAATGGACCCCAGATGCCCCAGACATCAGCATCAGAGAGTGCGAGGCTTAGAGTGGGTAAGAAGCTTGCTGCAGCATTCACGCGCTTGAGATCGCTTGAACGTGCGGCCTTGTTTTGAACTAGCTTGTGGAAAGCCAAGGTACTCCTCCGCCTGCATTAGTGCGCGACTTCTCTGCAGGACGTGGCTTGGAGGTGGGTTGGGCAATCTGAATGTGACTAGTGGAGAAGAGCCATGCAGCTTGTGAGGTGGCAGGCTTCATAGTCAACGACACAGTCATGGGTGGGCGGTCTGACAGTGAGCTGCAGATGTCCGAGGCCACTTAGGAGGTGCTTCTTTGTCAAGTATTTTGAGCAGGTGCTCTGCTATTTACTGAATTGCGCTCCGCAACATCCAAATTGTAGCCTCTAGTCTTCCATTCATTAGCACGCTGCTGGTCCTTTGCCTGCATCGGGGCGCACCCGCGGCAGGGTGCGGTCTTTCGTGGAAACGTCACCAAGCGTGGTGGTGGTGGATTCGCGTCCGTGCGCTTCCAGCCACGGGACCTCCTGCAACAGCTGTTTTGGGGCAAAGCTAGAGAGTGATATGCTGGGCAGGACCGTGCGGCCTTTTTGGCCATGCTGCGTGGAGCTACGGGGCTGTCGCTGAAGGTTCGTAGGCAGGTCAGGGAAGGCATATCATTTGGTTCTTTCCAGCTGGGATTGCTGCAAATTACGGAAAACGATTTTTGAATTGGCGTTGGAGAAGTTGGCAGGATGCAAGGCTGCGCCAGCTGGAAGCTGCAGCTGAACAGCCTGGCCCTCGAACAGTCATCCTCCCACTTCTCTCCTGTAAAGCACTGCAAAGCACCCACAGTTCACCCGCAGAGGGCAATTTCATATCTTCGGGCTTCTGGGGCCCACCATGGCTTCAAGGCAAGTCGCAGGAAGAATGCAAGATGTGTGAATTCTTCACTGTGCTGGGTACGCTTGACACTACCCACACTGTTGCAAGTGACTGGCGTGCAGTTAGCTGACCTGGTTGCAGCTTGTCCGAATACTTGTAGCATTGTAGCATCTGTTAGCACAGCCCAGGGCTTGTAACCTCACACTCATCATGTCCAGTGGTCTCTGCCTCCCAGCCACATGAGAGCGTTCGCAAGCTCAGTTGTTTTGGAGCAGACCCCTGCTCAATGGGGGTGCTTTCAGAAATGCTTTTCATTCATCCATATCACAAGCATGTGGAGCGATGACAGCAAAACTGAACACCAAGTTTGTATGTGAGTGTGTGCCAGTTTCATGGACTGCAGTATTGGGAAAGTCTCGACTCAGGCCAGCAAGAGAAGCAATGGCAGCAGGACCGGGCATTCTGTGGGCAGGTTGCACCGCGAGCAGGAAGGGGCAGTTACTGGTGCAACATGGGACTGTTTACGGGCTGTTCACACTCCTAAACATGGTGGCCAGTGACGAGCTTCACGGTTTTGAGCTTGCTGTTGATCTGCTTGATAACAGTCAACACGGTGAGGCATCTTGAGGTTGACAGTGCGCCCGTAATCAGAGTTGCGCACGGCAGCGTTGTCTAGATTGAACGTGGGCAAGCCATGAAGAGAAATCTGCACTTACCTTCATTGCGTTGTGAGCTGCTGGTGGCCATGAACGCACATGCACACCTGAGGATCTGAGCTGCTAGACAATGGCAAATGTGCAAGGGGCAGTGGCTGGTGAAACAAGGGACTGCTTGCGGGCCGTTCGTACTCCTGCATGTTGGCGAGATTGAGTTTGCTGTCGATCTGGTTGATAACGGTCAACATGGTGAGGCAATCTTGAGTCGACGGTACACC